GCGAAGTTTCTGTATACGAATTAGCCGAAATTATTTCTATTATACTACTCTGAAACACCGTAGCACTACAAGGTGCTCTCGAACTGTAAATTGAAGATGTAGACTTAATCGAACTTTGCAGTGGAAGATAGTTTAGTTCTTTCTCGTACGCTTTGGAGAGCTGCGCAGATTGAATCAGTGTTCGGTACAGGAAAGCAGGATAACATTGTAAATTGCTTACTATTGTTATAGACATGTACGACTGCGCAAGGAAATTCCTACAATTCTTGACCCTTCTGACTTGCCTGCCCTTTCTACTGCTCGTGTCTCTCGCCTGCTGAAGAACGAGTAACTCACAGCATAACCTGAACTGGAGTCACGAAAACTGAGATGAAAGCCGGCAGCGGAACCGATTATGGAGTGAATTCCCTTTTCGGCATTTCCTCAAGAACCTTTATCATGGCTCCAGTGTTGTTTATTTTATGAGTAGCTCTTTTATGACGAGATCATGGAGCTGCACGGAAGCGTGGTTTGTGAATTGCCATTCAGTATTCCAGTCCATTGCGCGTTCTTTTGAGCTGCCTAAAGCAGATAATACCGTCATCAGATCGACACCCTACCTGTACCAGCTGTGCTTCCGTTCATTGTCAAGTTTCTCCAGCGGGAGCCAGATGTGCGCCATTCGTCCCTGCAATGCGCTAAGGTTCTCCGGTGGGTTTTCTGTTATGTGTGACCTTATGTAAGCCGAACAGTTCTTATCTAGAAGTGCTAAAAATCTCTATCGGAATCGGGGTAGGAAGGCTTCCCACTTGCCCATCAAGCCGCAAACTTTTCCAATTTGAAAAAACATTCTGTGTTCTATTGTGAGAGTTCGCAGACTGTGAAAAAATCCATTCTCGCCAGTACGCATGTTATTTCTGTTTTGTTGGAAAACTTGAATATGCTTATAGAGCGCATCTTTTCGTCGAAGTTATTAGAAAATTGATCATTCTGCACCGATTGGCATCACCTCCGTATTGTGTCATACATCCGACTCTCACAGAGAGAGGTGTTGGAATAGTGTAACTTCCTGGTGAAGCTTCTCCATGCAAACAGATGTGCTCCTACGGTTCAGAAAGGTCCGAGCGTGAACTGCGTCCCATTTGTTTATCAATCCATGACGTCATTGTGGGTGGGTACCGTACTTCTTGTTATTGCCCGTACCTCACTCTTGAGCCTGCAGCTTGCAGCGTGCCTTCAGGTGTTCATCACAAGAAGTATCATTGGTAACTTTTTATTATTCAAAGACTTATCGCAGAATGTTGAGTTGTGGGCAAAAGTATTGTGATTGTGATAACTGACTGACAGCATTCTTGTGATATCTTCCGGATCGCGTACTGCGGCGGTAAACAGCAGTTATCAAACAATAGCAGCTTGAAACATTCAAAGACTGCACAACTCTGAATGTCGCTCCTCTTAGAACATCCGAATAGCCCTGCGCTAACGATCCTTCCTCCACCCCCTCTCTAGCGGTGAGTGATCCCCGTTGTGATTTCCGCAACGTATGACATCATCTTCACCGCAGTCGTCAAGGAGCGGGTTGATGGTATGGACCGGAGGTACCTGGAATGGAAAGACCAATATTTTCTTCGTGGACCCCGGACTGAAGGTGAGCGCTGGCGGTTACATCGAGCAACTCGAGAAGAATATCCTCCCCACATGTCGCCGCCCCTACCTTCTTGGAAACTTTGTACTGCTACAGCATTGGGTGCCACCACGTGGAATCGAAGGGCGTTGGAGAAACTCTCGCCTACTTGGAATGGAAGGGGGCTGAGTACCTAAAGAAGATGGTATATCCAAGTAGGTCACCTGACCTGAATCCCCTGAGTTACCCGGTTCGGGCGGAGTTCAATAGGGTGGTCTACGGTGGCGGAGAAATCGACTATCTCGCTGATCTCAGGCACCACATCGCGGTCGCGTGCCAGAATCTCTCGATGGCGCTCGTCCAGAAGGCTGTGGCGGAGTTTTATAATAGTATTTAATATGCTCTTTAATATGGTGGTAGAAATGTCCGATTAGAATTTATAAAGTGTAACTTATAGCGCCTACGAAAGTCAATGAAGAAAAGTGACTTTTTTTGGCCCCCATGACAAAGTCTCGTGAGTCCAGCGAGGACTACAGACCAAGCAGCACTGATCAAAAGTCAATGTCAATATTGACAACACTGAAAGAGATAAAATTAGTTCTGGAGCTTTTTCTTGGTCAGAATATGATTGCATTATCTTTTTGCTAAGTGATAACGCTGTGAAACTCCTGAAACTGTTTTACATCCCGGTAGAAAAGTTACGTACAGCACACCGATGAGATTCTTCCATATTACGGGGACAATGAGGAGATGGAAGCCGGCGTGAGCGGTCAATGTCATGCTTTCTGATGATAAAAGACATATAAAGTTGCCTTGAATCAACTTTTCGAGCCAGGCATTAACTTGTATTCGAAGTCACAGAGACATCGTTCACTTTCACATCTGAGCTATGCAGTTATCTGCGAACTAGTTTTCAGTAAGAACACTTACTAGAATTGTGTCCGATGCCGATCAGCTACTCCTGGAAGGATGAAGGATCAGGTCCATATTTATAGGCAGCATAGAAGTGAATGTTCCGAAAATTCACAAGGGCTAGGGACGATGTTCCAATAACCATTCAGATCATTTGTTCTGTGGAGAAAACGACACCCTTTAGAATAAAATTCTACTACCAAACAAGGTTTTCAGTTGGAATTGTTCATTTGGCCAAACGTTTCGCTTTCTCGTTTTCTTCAGTGGGAGGTCTGACCAAATAAACCATTTTACCTAACAAGCTCCCTTGTCAGAAGTTATATGTAGTTAATTCGACATATGCCGAGGTTTCAGGGAGGGACAACGTGAAGGCACGTCCATTTTGTTAAGTTTTGAAGGGCTAATCAAAGAAAAGATGAAGTTATTGCCATCGATTGATCTATCCCTTGTTGGGATGCGCTGTGCATACTTCTCGGGAGTGGTGTAACGAAAGGTGGTCTCTTCACGATCGGGTAGTGTGTTCCCGGATCAGCCCCGCCTGAGTCAACTAAGCCATCTAGCTTACGGGGACGGTAAATCGGTACCAAATTCATATGGGTAGGCAAAAACACGCACATCGGCTGGTCCCCACAAGTCATTGAATAGGCCGCATCGCAATTAATAAACCTCTATGATCCGAATAGGTCGCGTATCGCATCAACCAAAGAACTGATTGACAGGCTTTTATCTTCCAGCTTTTGAAGGTAGTTGGCACGATGATTTGGTGCTCGGCCTAAAATGCTAGTAGGGCGCTATATAGTGGGGAAATGGCGAAAGAACGGAGTGAAACGGTCAAAATCCTGCGAAGAAAAAGCCTCCGTTCTCAGTGACTTGTAAATCGATTTCGGACGAGTTTCCCGTAGGCATCTTACCAATCACCGCTACCGAAGATACGGCTGCATATGTGTACTCATATATCCATGCAGCATCACGGCCGCTTCATACCAATCCCTTCGCTTCATAATTTGCTTAGCAAATGAATCGATTAGAGCGTCAGGAACGGTCGTCCATTTGTGGGCGGGCGTGGCGTTTGGGTCGGTATGTTGTGGCTTGATAGGGCCCTTATAAGGGCACCTCCCTTGGAAAAGGCATTATGCAGCGCCTGCTCAGGGTCGCGGAATTCCGTCCTGCCAGGCGTATTAATCCTACTCGTCTTGGGGGATTTATCGTGCCAACTGCCTTTATGTCGATGCAGTGACGAATGAAAGCCGACCTGGTATTTGACCGGGCTTTTGCAGCGGTGCTCAACACTA